ACTTGATCTGAAGTGGACTCAAGAGCTGTTTAAGGTGGTTAGACGATACAAGAGACAAGAGATAGCACAGTATAAGATCAAAGACTTTCATGATAAACTGATAGAAGGTACGTTTTATGGCAATGAGTTACAAAAGGTGGAGAAAAAGGAAAATGTTTTGTGGCAGGTAGAGAAGATTTTAAAGAGAAAACGTGTGAAAGGGAAGACCTACCTGTTAGTGAGGTGGTTGGGCTGGCCGAGTTCCTTCGATTCTTATGTGGAGGAAAGTGAACTGAAAGATATCTGATGGAAAGGTACATATTTCTCAAAAGCTCAGACTCCAAACAATCTTATTTTAATGAGAATACGCCTTATCATTTTCGTGTTAAACTAAATCAAAGGTTGAATTTTGATGGATTCTGGGTTGTGTCTTTAACGGAGATTAATTTTGGTAAACTTGACATCACCCACATGAATGATCCATATGTGGACGTGTTATGCAATCTGTGTGATAGTTCTTTGGCAGGTGAACAGCAATTGCCTTTATTGAGACGGCTTGATCTCAGACAAGGTCCTTACTATAGCTTTGCATGTGAATACAATATTCCGATTAAAGTCAAAGAATCTCCACACATAGAGGTGCGTATAAAGGCCAGTAACGGCATGTCACACTCATTTCTAAAGGAAGTGACATATGTGACACTGCACTTGAGACGGTATCCCTTCATTGATTAACCATGGAGTCCACACCTTTGTATGTCCCTGATTATGTCAAATGGACCCACTATTTCAAGAAACACATGAAAGGAACATCTGCCTTAGTGAATGGTAAACCACAGGTGAAAGTGATCCCGACACGACTTCAAGTGAAGACTGAAGAACCCAAGATCAAACTGGAAGTAACATCAGAGACGCAGAATATTGTTGAGAGAGCCAATGCCAAAGAAAAGCGACGGAAATCTTTAAAACGAGCTGCAGGTGACCAAATCACCACTTCAAAGAAGATCCGTCAGACAGATAACATTCCATCAAAGACCGCTAAGGTTCTCCAGTGTACCCCTATTCGAGAAAACGACGTTTTCAGTTAATCATGTCACTGTTGAATGATAAAGACTTTGAGGAACTGATACCACCCTCTCTCAATCTGTTTATTTTACCTCCATACCAGACCAGCATCCATCAACATTATTTTGATGAGGTGCGTCCACTCAGTCAAATCAATGATTCTTCACCGTTGGAATTTCAAGTAACGAATGCTGGAAGTGATTACATTGACCTGAACCGTACCCGCATACATGTGAAGCTCAAGGTGAAACATGCAGATGGCACTGATCTTGAGGACAAGGAACATATTGTCCCTGTCAACTTGTTTCTGCAGGCTCTCTTTTCCCAGGTGTCAGTGTATCTGCAGAATCAGTTGGTATCTTTTACAAACAACCATTATGCTTACAAGAGCATGATGAAAACTCTACTCAACTATGGAACAGAAGCTAAAACTTCACAGCTGTCATCTCAACTCTTCTACAAAGATGTGTCTGAATCTATCAATGATGTAGAATCGACGGATCCCTACACTGGTCTCAATACAGGAGTGCAATCTCGCGGTGGCTTCATTAATAATAGTAAAGTCTTGACCATGTCGGGGCCATTGTATGAAGATATCTTTCACATGAACAGACATTTAGTCAATGGAGTGGATTTGACAATGAAGCTGTACCGCTCCTCACCCCAGTTCTGTTTGATGAGTGGCAAAACAGGTCAAGATTACAAGGTAGAAATTCTGGATACCTACCTGAAGGTGTGTAAACTGAAAGTCAATCCAGCTCTTATTTTGGCTCACAACACCTTGTTTCAAGACAGCAATGCTCTGTATCCTTACACCAAAAGCGAGGTCAAGGTGACAAGCATCCCCACCACTCAACTGACACATACCATTGACAATCTGTCGAATCCTATTGCTAATCGTTACATTGTAGGCTTTGTACTCAGCAACAGCTTGAATGGATCTTACACTGGTAACCCCTACAACTTCCAATCTAGTATGGTGAAAAACATCAGTCTGTACATCAATGGTGCCAGTGTCCCCGGACGTCCCATGCAGGCAGATGATGTTGAGTCCTATGTGCAGATGTTTGATGGGATGTGTCTGTGGAAAGAAAATACAGGAAACGGAATCACTCGGAGCGACTTTTTGCTTGGGAGTGCCCTGTTCGTCTTTGACATTGATAAAGTATGCAGTGAAACCGACTATCTGAATCTGTTGAAATCTGGTAGCACCCGATTAGAAATTGAGTTCAAAAACGCCCTCACTGAAACACTCAGTTGTGTTGTTCTGAGTGAAAGAAATTCTCTCATTGAAATTGACAAGACCAGGAACGTGTTTGTGAAGTAAAAAACATGAAAGCCTCTGACCTTGCATGTGCTATTCAAAGTGACTCCATCTTAAAGTACCAGGTCTTAGGTGTGTTTGCCAAAGATACTTTACCTGTGCTAACTAGTGTCATGCTTGCACGTGGAGTGGGTCTCATTGTCAATACTGAACCATCTGGAAGACTGGGTCGTCACTGGGTGGCTATGTACTTCAAAGGTAATACAGGGGAACTGTTTGACAGTCTGGGTGAGCCAGTGAATTCCGTTTTTGACTTGTTCTTAAAAACCTATGTCAATCAATACCAACACAACAGAAGACAGTTACAGTCCTCATCGTCCAACCTTTGTGGTCATTATTGTTTATATTATTTGTTGTATAAATGCAAAACAGAACTTACCCTTCAAACCTTTGTGCAGATATTTGATGTGCAAGTCCGTTTTAACAATGATGAGCATGTGTCAAAGTTTATCTGTAATTATTTTAGATATTGTTTGTTATCTTGTCATACCTGTGTCATGTAACATACTACTGTACTTGTGTAACCCATTACAAAAAATAAAATAAAAAAGAAAATAAGTGTAGTCATTCGAGTTTGTTCTATAAATATAAGTAACTCAGCTGTAATGTCACAGTTGAATTATTGTGCTCAGAGTGTGATCATGGAACGTAAGTGTCTCTTACCAATACAAACACCTACCACCATATCTGTGATTGGTGGATCTTCCTCAGGGAAAACAGTTTGGGTGAAAAGGTTGTTAGAGCAGACTAATCTGATGTTTGACAAACCTCCCAACCTTATTGTGTACTGCTATGCTGTATGGCAAGACATCTACAGTGACATGCGGCAAAACATTTCTAACATTCTTTTTATGGATTCCCTTCCAACTGAGAATGATTTGAAAATGTGGTCTGAGCAATCTGAAAAGAACATGGTGTTGGTCATGGATGACATGATGATGGATATATGTAAAAGTCCACTGATGTTAAATCTCTACACTACATTGTCTCATCATTGGGGAATCAGTGTTATAAATATTCAACAGTCTGCTTATCCTAAGGGGGATTGTAACCGAACTATTTCCTTGAATACACACTACTTCATTTTGCTATCTAACCCACGTTCTGCACATGAATATAAAATCTTGGCATCTCAAATATTTCCGGGTCAAGCCAAATATTTTACTGAATCATTTCGTGATGCAGTGGAGGGAAAGAAATTTCAATATTTAATGATTGATGTATCACCCTATTCCGATCCTCAGTATGGGCGTCTGCGCAGTGGTGTCTTTCCAGATGAAGTATGTATTGTGTACCAACCCAAATAAAAGCTACTGCTCAAAGTTATACCCACCAGTTGCCTGTCTTACCAATGAACAGGTCAGTTGCTTACTGAGATCATCATGGATGTTTGCGGACGATTTGAAGATATTGCTAACGATTGTTCAGTGATTTCAACCAATGCTGAAGTGTATGGTCATAGCTTTTGTGAGAGATTAAAGTCCTTTGTCAGTTGGCCCATGCAAATGAAACAGTCACTGAAGACTATGGCACAAGCAGGATTCATTTACACGGGTCAATCAGATAAAGTCTACTGTTTCATGTGTCGATTGCGTGTACATAAATGGATGCCAGAAGATGATCCACTAACTGAACATTTCAGGTTATCACCTCAGTGTAGTTACATAAACATGATAGCTTCTAATACTGAATGAGAGACATTGGCTATGGTGTATGAGGAATATTAGAGTCTAAGCATACATAGATATATATATATATAAAAGACACAATTACCTAGTTGGATCATTTCACATTGTGATCTCCTCACTTCAATATGGGTGATTTACTGGAAAAACATCTGTCTTTTCTTCAAACACTACTGCAGGCTAATGTGAAGCAGAGAAAAGCTTTACTTCAATATGTGTCATGTGAACAAATGCATGCTATTAATAGCATGATGTTAAACATTTTGAAAGGGAATATTCCACTCTCACTGATGGATAAAACTCGCTTGCACCGTCATAGGTTTCACATTAGAACATTGGCTGCCAAAGAAGGTTTTCCCAATCGGATTAAAAAGGAGGTGTTGATAAGACATCATTCCATCTTGCCTATTTGCATTGCTGCACTGATAGATTACCTACATCATGAGCAGACCTATGGTTCTCCTGAACAGGAACACATACCAACGTCTAATAGACAACCAGGAAAAGGAGAAGACAGTGACACAGGAACAACAGATAATGACAGTGACTCCAGATCAGAAGACGAGTCCTCTGAGACTGAATGAGACCTCTGAAGAAATCACCCATGATGAAGCACAGATTAAAGCGAATACGAACTTGATTCTGGATCTACTTCTTAAGGATGTGTCATTAACTAAAACGATTGGCAAACTTGCCAAACTATGGTACTTTATCAAGGATCAGATCAGAAATGCTCACTTCAGACTGAATAATCAGTTAGAAATTGTTTTAGATAATGAGAATGTGTGGATCGGAACTAACGTTATTGACCTCATTCGTTTTACTGTGATGCATCGTGGGGCTGTTCCTTCAGGCTACCGTGACTTTCTCAATCTTTTAAAAATGCTACATGTACCGAAGCGGCTTTTGTATAAGCCAGATGTCAAGAAAAAGAACGACAAAAGAAAAAAGGCAAAATCATCTTTATATATAAAACGACAAGCACAACATGGTGTACCCGGTGCTAACACTACTGCAAAATTAAGAAAACTAGAGTCTTTCTAACTGTACATGTACATTGAATTCATGATATGTATTCTATGTAACTTTCAGATTGTAAAGCAATAAAATAATGCTAACACATGCGACTTTTAGTTATTACTATCTTCCATGTTCATGAGGACTCTGAGCTGCATCTCGAGTCTTTCTTTTCTGTCATTGCAGAAGAAATGACTATGCATATAATCCGTGTCATTGTAACGCACAGTGTGCTGGTCCTGAAACTCTAGCCCAAGGCTTACCCTCTGTTGCTTGGCTTTTTCCAAGATGGTATGAAGGGGCAGCTCATTCACTGCACGATCAAAGTATTGAGTAATACACTCGTCACTGTTCATCATGATACACTGGTGATGTACTTGCGATGGATGATTAACTTCACATCCATAACAATTATCACAACATAACTTCCGAACAAGTCTCTGGAGTTCATTGAGATAGTGAGTTTCCAAGACGCCTACGAAAAGTCTTTTGTTTCGACGCAGCTGTAAGCGATTGGTTATTTGTCTCCTGTTGATGTGAATTTCACGCACAGTTACTGAATAGTTGGGTGTTTGATGATTCTCGTCTTGATGGAACATTCTTCTTGCACGCTGTAAACCTGCCTGCATGGCATCCTCATGGCTTCTACGGAAGCTTCTACCTTCATAATACAGTATGTCATTGCCGCCGTTTCGTCTTAACTGGTAAATGAATCCGGTGGTACTCATATTGCTGTAATCATAAAGATAATTAAAATGAGTGAAACACTTTAAGTGTGATGATAACAGCAATTATTACTATTAATATTAGAATTATTATTATTGTTAAATTAAAAATGGATAACATTCGGCAAAAAAGGAGGAGGGTACCTGTATCAATCACCCATCTCTAAAATGTGGAACTTGAACAGCATTACCACATACTCTTAGACTGGTGAATACCCATAGGGTAAACTATATATACCATCCTCTAGTACATAACGTTTATCATCTAAGGGGGATAATGCTATTTTGCTCAATGACTCAGTGTATAAAGTGTTATTGTGAGAGCGAATGAGTGAATAGGAACAATAAAAAGGTTTCCTCTCCAGGAGACTGTCTTTGTATTTCTTATGGGTCAATTGCTTAGCAATGACAGATTTCTTTATTCCTTTAGCTGTCTTTTGGTTTGATACAGTGTTCTCATCTGATTGTATCAAAAAGGAATACATTTTGCTTTTCAACCCTACAAATTCTAAAATGATCTTTCCTGCAGCTTCATCCTTCATCTTTCCTGTGACTTTTTTGTTTTCATTCGAATACAATCCTTTAGGATCGTTCTGATCATAATTGGAAGTATCAAACAAATGCAGATTTTGCTTCATGAATATGTAGGGATCAAGCAAAGTCTCGTGTGGAGGGGCATGAATGTGCAAAAAGAGACTGTCTGTGTCTGTCATGAGCAAGTCCAATCGTTCTGGTCCATATTGCTGTTGCATGACGTCATAATAGAAAGAAAGGATTTGAAATTTGGCTAAATCCAAAATACTGAAACCAACAGCGATAGGTTGATCTAAATGGACAGACACTTGCTCCATTTCCACGGACACAACATCTTCTGAAAACACTTTCACCTGCTTGAAATTGGTTTTAGCTACATAACTGCGAAATTGCTGTCTTTGGGTCACTAAGTGCAAGGATTTCCGCTTGCGTTTATTCATACAGAACCTGCCAAACACACAATTATTCATAAGTTTATATCGGTCCTTGTCACAGGCATCAGTTGCGTGTTTGCGACTTTCCAAATTTAACTGAACATAGGGTTTCAACCAGGGACCTTGCTTGAACTTTAACACCCTATGAATGTGTTGGAGGACTAGCCTATGTCTCAAATACAGTTGCAAAGTTTTGAAATGAACCACATAGTTCAAGCGATCTTTTAAAGTAGCAAACAATTTCTTGCCTGAGGGTTTTTGACACTGGGAGGTATAGAACTGGCTGAGTAACTCTTTGTGATAAGGTGAAAAGTCCTCAAAGGGAATGTTGTCATGGGTAGGAGCCATGGGGAAAGCAGCATGAAGTTTGTGTAAATGTTTAGGATAGTGCAAGTCCACTTCCAAAATGTAACCTGTATCCCCTTGGGTATCTATTGTAACCCAATCAATAGTTTCATAATCTTGTGCTGACATGAACTGATAGTTACCAATAGGTAGGGGTTCCAGCATAACTCCAGAATAAAGACTGTTAAAGTCCATGTACAGAAGCACTGAAGCCTCTTTTTCTGGGTTATAATTAGACATGTATTCATTGTTGCCTTCGGCAAATTTCTTACCGATGACAGACACGCCTCCCCGAATGGAATTTTCCACAAAATTGTAACTATCTACATCAGTGAAGAGATCAAGCTTGACCCCGGTGACTTTCAGTGCTGCATCAATACAAAACCCTGGCATGGAATAGTAGTGACAGATGTCAAGTCCATAATCTGCTAAACATCCAGTTCTGAATGTTTCGACAATATCAGCCAACAACAGTGTGTCTACAACCACATACAACCGTGTAAAGTCAGACATTGTGTTGCATGCGAATGTATGCCACAATTCATGGGCAAAGACATAGTCTTCATCAGTAATGCCTTCATCACTCAAGGAACTGTAGAAGGATTCTTTAGGTGGCAACTGTGTGTCATTTAATTTTTCCCATGAATCCATGTACTCATAAGGAAAAGGAAGCTTTCGAGTCATTATACCAACATGCTGTGGGAACTGCTCTTTCAAGAAAACAAATGTGTCTAATCCTTTATTCATCTGATTCTTAGTCAGAGCATCTAAAGAGCTTTGCAAAAATTTGCAAGAATCTAGGAAGACCAGATCACTGTCCACAGTAAAAGACAGAAACTGTTCAGAATTATGGGGTATGATCTGAATACTTCTCTCTCCAAATTCACGTGCTGCTTCAAGAATAAGATGCGTATCATAACGCTCTGAATTATGCAACATCAGATACACTTTCTTTTGCAGCTGGAAATTTAGTTTACACTTGTTGTGTAATACTTGTCTAAAAGCACCACTGAGATGGTCATGATCTAACACCCTATCTTTCCCTAACTCTTTTCCACATAATCCACACTGAGTTGTGTTTGCTATGGTTGTCCTATCCTGATGAGATAATTGCATGGGAACAACATTGGCAAAGATCTCCTTAATTTCATCATATTCTCTTAAAATGTCTTGAATAAAGTGTTCTGCTGCATCTGAACCTACATAGGTTTGAACAGATTTCGAATACCGCTGCTCTGAACAAATAACTTTGTAAGCATAGGCACAAGGAACATGTCTGTTCAAACGCGATGCATGATTTTCGACCGGCAACAGCAAACTTTCAAAATCGGCCACAATAAGAAATTTAGCTCTTTCTGTTTTAGCTTCAGATCGTAATCCAAACTGATAGACTGCTTTCTCGGGTTTAGGCATATTGACACGTTGAGCTTTATCAAAACAATACCCCTTGTGCTTATTCAACCTTTCTTGTGAGCTGTATGTCCACAAACATTTTCTGCAAATATAATACTGGTTACTACGTTTTTTCTCAGGGTTTTTGACAAAAAATTTCAACTTAGTGATCAAACAAAAATGGGTGTCTGCTTTCGTTTCTACATCCATAAGTTCATGACCCTCTAAGCCTAAGAATCCTTCAAAATCTTCGGGCTCGTTCTCTTGTGAAAGCATCAACAAATCAATTTGACTGTCTGGTTCTATGTTGGATACGTTGCTTATGTAAAGTGGATAGAGAGTCTTATCTTCGAAGCCATACACATTAATACTCAACTGATTGACTTGTTCAAATCGTGGGATTTGTTTGAGTGTCATCGGAAAAGTAAACCCATCCAAATTCAATCTGTTCACAAAAGGTTGATAATGCTTCACCCGTGTTGGATGATGCGGAGCGGGAAACAGTTTGGCTAAAATGCTATAGATAAAACACATCTCATCATTGTTTTCTACATTCACAACGCTTTTAGTTTTGTATGCAATTTCTTTGGGAAGAGGGATGTATGTACCGCCTTTAAAAGGCTTAAATTTAACGATGATCACTTTCATCATTGCAATGTCTAGCACGTTTAAATTAGAATGCTCACCCTGATAATTATCTAGTGAACGCAATATCTTGTGCATGGCTTCAAGGTATTGATCGGACAAATTGGTTCCTTGTGTAGCTATGACCATTGTGCTTCGAAAGTAAGCCTCATGAATATTAGCTGTTTCATCTTCAGTAGGTTTAACCATTCTGATGTGAAGACATAATCCCCATTTCACTGACTGTTTCTCTCTGAGTTCTGTCTTGATCACATCAATAATGACAGCTTGTTGATTCACCATAAAATGTAAAGCATCTGTAGCACCCTGCCCTTTAAACTCATACTCTCTCACATCTCCCCCTAAAGATTCGCTGGTACATGGGCGAGCATGATCAGAAGTGTCACCAACAGGTTCAGGATTGGAAGGAGTACCTGGTGGGGAGGGAATAAGAGGCAAAGAAGGGTTGGATGGATGTGCAGATACTGTAGCCGTTTTTTTCCTACTTAACTTGCCTTTGCTACCACCCCACATATCATGTCCTGTTCTATTCTTATGCAGTCGCAATGCTTTCGAAGTTGGAAACATTGTCTGACAAGTCTGACAGGTTACATCATTTTGTGAAATCTCGTTTATGAGGTAGGGATTGGGATAAGAAGGAGAAACATCAGGGGAGGGGATGGGCGGTGGAGGGGGGTAGGAGGAAGGAATGGGAGGTGGTGATGAGGTGGAAGGAGAATCATATTGCAAAGTCGTGTTTAGACAATGTGGTAAGTGTGATTGAAAAGCAAGTTCATGGGTAAAGTGTTGAAAACACAGTGAACATTGGCAAACCAAAGGATTGACTACTTTTTGACAGCTTTTCACATGTCGTTTTAAACTATCTTTTCTGGAAAAATATTTTCTACAATACTGACATGAAAATTGACCCCCAACTTTCCCACATATTTGTTGATGCCTTGTTAAATTTCTTTTAAAACCAAAACAAGTGTGACAATTTTCACAGTAGGAGTCTCTACTCGTGGTGTACATAGTCATAAAATAGGTATTCACCAACTAAGTGTGTATGAGTTGGTAGTTACCTGAAAACAAAAAACAAAAAACGAACATCAACTAAGCATTAGACTAAAATGGTTACTAACAGTTTTAAGTATTATATCGTGATAATAAGTTTTAAATAATACGTCAAGTGTATAAGTTTTAAATAATCTAACAACTGTATAAGTGTAAGTATGCAGTAAAAGTGGAGTACTTGCTCTTTTGCTGGAGATTCCTATCCTAAGGATGCGTGTTAAGGGTTAACGTTTCCGGTACACTTTTGGTTGATGTTGCCTTGGCAATTTCTCAGACGAAAATGGTGAAAAATATAAAAGTGGATGGACTTCTTATTCCAAACTATACATTTTGGAGCTCTATAGAAATATTAGTTCAAACTTAAGTGCAAACAGCTGCACACAATGAACATGAGTGGTTTGGCTGCTATTCAAAACAGTTTCAGGTTGCTTCAAGACAGATGTATCAAGCGGGGTGTATAATAGGGTAGTACTATGAACTGCTGAATCACCTTGACCGAGTACACAAGCTATACAATTTTTTAATTTTATTTTTGTTATTGTTGAGAAATGTTTACTATGGGATGGTACTGAAAACGTGTCTCTTTAAAAGCACAGGTGTTTCTTTATGAAAGACTACATAAAATGAACTGCTGAATCACAAGCTATACAATTTATTGTTGTTGAGTGTTTACCATGGGATGGTGCTGAAAACGTGACACTTTAAAAGCACAGATGTTCCTTAATGAAAGAGCTGTATAGAGAGTGTGTTACTAAAAACTCGATATTGATTAAAAATGAGAGAGTAACAAGTGGTGGCTTTGTGGATTCGTTCTTGTTAAGTCTATAGGGCTGCCGTCTGATCAAACAGGGGAGTATCTAGAAAACGTACTAATTAAAAATCGTATACCATCACTTACAAGCAAAGTATAGTGAGTCAGAAGTAAATGTATACTCCATTTGTATGCGGGGTGTAACAGTTGATACCATTTGAAAAGAACAAGGTAACATAATGAAGTAGTTTTTCCCGTGAGAAAGTGTCAACATGCTGAATCACCTTACTAGGTATTCACGTCACAGTGCATTGACTATAACGCTGAAGGCAGCCGGATTTCGAATCACCCGCGCTGCGTACTATTGTGAACCATTTGTTAAGAATTATTCAGCCCTGTCCCGACTTGCATAGTTGATGTTTCAACGCTAGCGTTTTCTTTTAACGCGATAACAAATAAACAGTACGGTTTGAGTTTTAACCGTGTAACATGATGTGCACAGTTTTACTTCAGAACGTGTTATTTTGAAAATAGATAGAAAACTGATAAGTACATGTACCCGTGTGACGGCACGAAGCTAGGTTTGTTGGGAAAGTGATGGAAGCAATCTATAGGACATTTTCATGTTTACAATACTCACCCTTAACTCGAAGAGAGAACAGAGTTTATCATGGAAAATTGTTTGACGAGGAAAATGTTTTATTGGAAATATATGTCGAAGTAGGTTTATTCATAGCTAATGTATAGCAGAGAGACTAAGTGACCGACCGCCCATAACAATGTCAACATACCCCGGCCTTACAATTAATGTCAACATACCAGCCTCGCCTGAAGCTTCCCATTCATAAATTGTGTGATCAGTGTCCCGTATTTATGATACGTTAGGGAAGATGTGTTGTTATTTTAAAAGGGAGTTATTATAGAGAGTATATATATGGGTATTCCCCTCATTAAACCTTTCTTTCGTTGGTGTCTATTAAACGTATCCGGTATTTAATATATTTGAATGATGTAGGAAAGTATGTGCGTGTAGATGTTGTACCTATATCCGAACACGAATGTATGACACCTTTCAATAGATCAATTACGGTTATAGCCATGACGCGCAACATGACTATGAGCGTGGTTAGCAGTTCATATTTATAAACACATCGTAAATGACAGATTTCTGATGAATGAACTCGCCCGCACACATGTCTATAGGGTTAGGTTTGCCCGAACTGTAAACAGTGACACATTGGATAACAGGAAGGGTGTGTGGAATGCACTCGTCCTTGTAAGTGTAAAATACGCGTTTAAACTCACCATTTAAAAGATGACATTACTTTTTTAGATGTATTGGTATCAGTGAGTGAGTGAATTTAGTTTTACGCCACACTCGGCATTATTCCAGGTCTAGGGCGGTGGTCTGTCAATAAACGAGCTTGGACCAGACAATCCAGTGATCAACAGCATTGATAAGCGCAACAACAATTTCAGGCAACTTTGAAGGTTTTTCAAATCTCTCTTTGTTAGATAAATAAACACTTCTCCGTGAAATATAAGTGCTCCTGTAAAATCCGTGCGAAAATAAATTTGACAGAAACTGCTGATATTATTTTCTAACTGTGGATTTTTTAGTATTAAAAGCAAATTTCGTGATGAAATAAAAAATTTAAAAAATAGAATGACGAAGTTGCCTAATACCGAAATTATAATCTGCGCGAGTGGGATTTCTCAGCACAAACGAAACGGACATTTTTTCACAGGCAGAGAAAAAGTTCGCACACTGCTAGATTTATAGAATCTGACGTCTGAATGGACTTTTGTAGTTGAAAGGTCATCCATTGTGTACGTATATGAAAACATTGTGTAGAGTGATCGAGATGAAAATGTTTCAGTGAATATAGGGTATAGACATTATTTCCTTGCGACTGTTATAAAACATGTATTATCAGCTGGCCTTCTCCTCACTCCAACCGCCTATTCTGTCCTGACCAACATATATAATCATCTTAAATCTTATAAATTCATTGCATACCGTAAACATGTAATAAAGTTGTGAATGGGTGATAGATTTACGTTCTTTACACAATGTGCTATTAATACTGATTGCAATGCATATAGTTAAAATTAAATAATAAAATAAAAACTTACCTTTTCAGAATTTGTTTTGGAACACTCTTTCTTGGAAAAAATGCTCCCTTAGATTAACAGATGAAATTATATCCCGAATTTCACCTACTGACAGCTGCGATTGTCCATATGACTGATTTACAGTTAACACTTCAGTCTGCCGGTTCAAAGTAAAATGTATTGAACAAATATCATAAGTTAACAAAGCGTTATGAAGGTGAAAACTATTTCTATAAATTAAAATTTCGTCTAAAATGTAAATGAAAAAAAGATTTCAAAATTGGTTTCAGATGATTGCACACACTAATAGAAGTATTTCCGTTATAAAATTCGATGTTATATGTCCAATCAGATTTAAAAGAGATTTCGAACGGCATGACAAGACAGCTGAATACTAAAAATAAATAAAATCGCATACGCTATATATCTATATGAATCTGTAAAACATTTTTGTGTGTTTTTTCTAACACAACGAACACCGGTGCTATTCAAAGTGCGCTGACAAATTCATCGTATTTGAACGTATTCTGCTTGGGGATATCTTGTCATTGTATCAGTTGTCAGATTTCGTTAGATAAGATACATAATAGCAACCTACCGCCGCCGTATCAGTTGTCAAATTTCGTTAGATAAGATAAATAATTACAGCCTACCGTCGTCGTTAGTAAATAGTAACAGATAAAGAATAGACTCTGGTCTACTGATTGATATTTGCTTTTCCCACACGTGTTGAAATATAAGTTTGCGGCTTGAAAATGAATAAGATTTACTTTTCCCACACAGGTCAACAAAAAAAGTAGGATAGAGAAGTATAAAGCGTAGTTGTTATAAAAGAGCGGAGGAATAGTTAAGCTATACATTTTAGTACAGCAAGGGGTACTTCGAAAAAAAACGGAAAAAAAACACCACCAGAAATTAGATTTTTCAAAATGACGTCTAAAGAGGTTTTTTTAAGATCGCTTAGAATACAAAGTGAAACCGCTGAACCAAACAATCGATCAGTGCTTTTAGTGGAAAAACAAATTCGTTGTTTGGAAGCTCAGGCGTTAATTGCTGATTATTATAAAAGAAAGAAAAACTTCGAAATAAGGTGAGAAGAGTGGCAAGAAGAACACATACCTTCTGCAGAAAATATAAACGTTATTTAAAAACAAAGAACAAGAAAGTGGTTGTCAGAAAATTCAACAGAACACTGTTATGTGTTTTACGTACCAACGATTCACTGAGTGAACTGTTTTCGTGTACAGTAAAACACGAGGATATTACAAAACTTGTGCAAGAAAAACTTGAGGATATAACAAAGAACAAGAAGAAAAAGTAGATGTGGGAAAATTCAATAGCACTCTGAAGAGTGATTTACTTGCCAACGATTCGCTTCGGGAACTGTTTTCATGTATAGTAAAACTCGAAGATATTACGAAACATACGAGTAAAAACTTGAGGTTGTTGAAAAATGTGACAGACATACACTCGTTCGTATATTCGATGAAATATGAACAGTTATTGTTAAACTCTAATTTGCTATGTTCTGAGCTTTTTCTTGTGTCATACACTGTATCGGGAAGCGATCGGCAAGTTAGTGATTTAGTTAAAAGTATATATTAATTGATCCTGACTGATTAATGTTTATATATATATATATGTAATCAGGAGAAGCATTTTCATAAGCCAGCTCGGCTTGTTTGCTAAATACTGTCATGAACAATTGATGGAATAAATATGATTAAACCAAATATGAACTGAGCGGATGGTTAATTCAAACGGAATATATGGAGGAAATGATTAATGAAACAGTGTTGATCAGTCAAAAGGTAAGTTCACTTTTATTTTTCATTATTATTATTACATCAATTAGTTATATGTCATAAAGCAGAAAACATACGAATTACACATCTGTCGATGGGTATAATGTATACTTTCTACTCAAGTTCTAACATAATGACGAACACAAGTAACAGCGACTAGTTGGTGATCGTCTAAAAGCAACATTTAACCCTTAGTGTTACGTTAGCATACTGAAACAGATAAAAAGTTAAAGAGTGATAGAAATGTTAATAGATAAAGGTTAATGAATGCCGCTATGAACAATAACATAATATTTTAACACTTAGTGAAACGTGAATGAAGAAGAGAAAAAATGTTTATAAATGAATTGACACCGGTGAAAGGGTTAACAGGTTCAGCGGTCAAAACCCACACACGAATAGATTTACTCTTGCGTGTAAAGAGCGGGGTGAGAGAGAGCTACCTCTAGTGTATTGATACTAATGTGCGGTGGTGACATAGTTACATGTTTGAACAGAGCGAATATATACAGAGCCAGCCTTACTGCTGGTCTCCTTTAGCAAACTTTGGCTTCTATTGTGTGAAAGGTATTGACTGCCCTCTGTGGTATGCTCAACAAGAATGCTTTTGTTTGGTCCAATACTCTATGCACCTTTAACACTTAGTGAAACGTGAATGAAGTAGAGAAAAATGTTTATAAACGAATTGATTTCGGTGAAAGGGTTAACAGGTTCAGCGGTTAAAACCCACACACGAGTAGATTTATAGAAATGCTGCTCCACAGGAATGCTTTTGATGGAAATTCAACGCTCCACAGAAGTAGAGAAAAATGTTTATAAACGAATTGATTTCGGTGAAAGGGTTAACAGGTTCAGCGGTTAAAACCCACACACGAGTAGATTTATAGAAATGCGGCTCCACAGGAATGCTTTTGATGGAAATTCAACGCTCCACAGAAGTAGAGAAAAATGTTTATAAACGAATTGATTTCGGTGAAAGGGTTAACAGGTTCAGCGGTTAAAACACACACACGAGTAGATTTATAGAAATGCTGCTCCACAGGAATGCTTTTGATGGAAATTCAACGCTCCACAGAAGTAGAGAAAAATGTTTATAAACGAATTGATTTCGGTGAAAGGGTTAACAGGTTCAGCGGTTAAAACCCACACACGAGTAGATTTATAGAAATGCTGCTCCACAGGAATGCTTTTGATGGAAATTCTTTGCTCCACAGGAATGCTTTTGTTGGAAATTCTTTGCTCCACAGGAATGCTTTTGTTTGTTTCTTTACTCTTTGCTCCACAGGAATGTTTTTGATGGAAATTCTTTGCTCCACAGGAATGTTTTTGATGGAAATTCCACGCTCCACAGGGCTGCTTTTGTCCGGAAGGTAACAGGAATGCTTTTGTTGGAAATTCAATGCTCCACAGGAATGCTTTTGTTGGAAATTCAATGCTCCACAGGAATTTGTTGGAAATTCTATGCTCCACAGGAATGCTTTTGTTGGTGCTCCACGCTCCACAGGAATGCTTTTGTCCGGAAGGTATTACTTTCTCTCTACTGTTGTTGCATCAGGTACACTTCTGGCCATTTGGAATAGGCATCGATTAGAATGAAGTAATTTCGTCCTTT